ACCCGAAACATTTCAGTTCATTCTCTGGGTCCTGGAAAGATAAGTGAAATGCAAACTTACGTCAGGTATTTTGTTTCATTAATTAAAGCTGTATTACTCCAGGTCTTGAGTCAGGATTTTGGGCTATGTTCACACTGCAGCCTGAAGTGACCCAAATCTGATTTTTTGGCTTCTATGTGACTTGTATCTGATCTTTTAATGACAGTCTGAACGACACATATCCGATTTTTTCAAATGCGACCCAGGACACTTGGATATGTGCTCCTCAATCTGATACATATTCGATCTTTTGACATGCGACTTCAGTCTGAACGGCCAAGGCGCATTCATCCGACCTACACGTTATCAACAAGTGACAAATGTACACAAATGTTCTTCCCATCATACATTTTGAACTCCATGTCACTGAAGAGAAGCACATCGCTATCCCACCACTCTTGGCTACGTCTCCGCATCCACACGTTCCTTTCAACGGACTGTCCCTCAAAACGCCACAGCCAAAAACCTCGTCCTTCTCCTTCTCAATCTCCTCCTTAAAACAAGTAAGTTGTTCATGTTCGGGCTCCGGTACGAGAGGAACTTTAAAATCTCCAGGTGCTCAATGCTCGCATCCATGTTTGGACAACTTCCGCTGCGGTTGACGTCGTCGTGTCTCCAGTGCACATGCGGGACACTTTTGGGCCGTTTAATGTTCACACTGGAGTCACATACAAGTCGCATTTAATTGGAAATGTGAACGACCTCGCAAAAACATCGGATTTCACAAAAAACAAAAAAAAATTGAGCATTAAGCCCTGCAGTCTGAACATAGCCTTGGTCTGGACTCAGGAGAACCACAGCTGGAGGACAGAGCTTGTGAAGTCAGTCCAAAAACTGAACACACGTTGATTTGGTTCAAAATAGTGTCAGCCAATGACCAAACCTGACCGGGCCAATCCAGCCTGAAATCTCTCGGTAGATTTTATACACATTGACATCAGTCTGGTCTCCATATAAATAAAAAAAGTGCTCAAAAAGTGCCTGTTGGGTGAACTGTGCACGAACCACTGACACCATTTTGGAGCAAATCCGACTCTTCATCGGTCTCCTCTTCACACAGATGAATGAAAGAACGTCCAGCTGTGTCGACACACCGTCTATTTGTGAGATTCCAGCGAAGTGCTCCATTTAAGATGATTTTCTCTGGGCTCTTCTCTCCCTCCCTCTTTTCTTCTCTATCACGCTTCACCTCTCTCCCTGTCCTCCCATCCTCCATCACTTTACCTCTGTCTCTCCCTCTCTACATTTCTCAGTCTCTATCCCTCTCTCCCTCCCCCTTTTTAACTCTCTCCCCTCCTTTTTCCCTCCCTCTCCTCCTCTCTCTCCCTTTCTCTGTCTCTACCTCTCTTTCCCTTTCTTTCCCCCTCTCCTCCCGTCTCCCCCTCTCTTTCCCTCGCTCTCTCCCTTCCTCCCTTTCTCACTCTCTGTCTCTTTCCCTCTCTACCTCTTTTTCCCTCTCTACCTACCCCTCTTTCACTCTCTCTCCCCTCCTTTTCCCCTCCCTCTCCTCCCCTCTCTCCCTTTCTCTACCTCTGTCCCTCTACCTTTCTTCCCCTCTTTCCCTCTCTCTCCTCCCTTCCCTCCCTCTCTCTCCTCCCCTCTCTCCGTCTCTTTCCCTCTGTCTCTCCCTCTCTACGTTTCTCAATCTCCGTCTCTTTCCCTCTCTACCTCTCTTCCCCTCTCCCTCCCTCTCTTTCACTCTCTCTCCCCTCTTTTTTCCCTCCCTCTCCTCCCCTCTGTCCCTTTCTCTACCTCTGTCCCTCTACCTTTCTTCCCCTCTTTCCCTCTCTCTCCTCCCTCCCTTCCTCTCCTCCTTTCCTCTCCTCCCTTCTCCCCCTCTCTTTCCCTCTGTCTCTCCCTCTCACCGTCTCTGTCTCTTTCCCTCTCTCCCCCTCCCTCCCTTTTTCTCCCTCTGTCTCTCTCTCTCTGTCTCTCTCTTTCTCTCTCTCTGTCTTTTGAGAAAGAGTAAGTGAGTTTTTATTTATATAGCACTTTTTCACAGACATTTGTCACAGAGTCTGTCACGCCAATCGATGCCAACGGTCCCTCTGACCACCACTCACGCACCCTCCAATTTCATACCAGGCAATGTGGGTGAAGTGTCTTGCCTAAGGACACAACAACAGTGTTTGTGACTGGCGCCCCCCAGTGGCACATGATTTTCCCAGTGGCCTCCAGTCCAAGTACTAACCAGACCCGGCCCTGCTGAGCTTCTGACATCAGGCTTTGACAAACTGGTGTGACCACAAGGTTCAGAGAGCTACAGTTGTGTTGCTTGTTTGGAGAAAGTTCACTTGTTTATGTGATACGCTTGATATTTTACTGTTTTGAGTAAAATAGGTATTTTTCATATTCATTTAGTGGTTTAATAAAGACTTTTAGTATCAGAGCCATGATTTAGCCTTTGTTTTTTACTGAACTGTATTGAACTGTTTTAAAATATTTATCGTATTAAATATTATTATATAATACATAACATTATATTGATATTAAATATCTATAAATTCAAGTTGTTATATAAACATATGGTCTGGTCACAGTATGTGGAGAGTGGGTCATAATATTAGAACAATACTGCCTCTGTAGCGCTGGTTTATGTTTGTTGTTTTCTTACCATTGCTGGTTTGTGCTGTCAGTTACTTGTATTTGTTGTTTCTTACCATTGTCTGTATCCTTAACTTTACCATTGTTGGTACATTTATGTTACTACTATCAAACTATAACAGTGACTCTTTGTCTGCACTTGTAAATAGTTCATATAGTTTAATTCAAAATGTCTGCAACATGCAAAAAGAAGCTCATTGTGTTAGATTATAAAGAGTAGGGGTGGGATTAAATACATTTTCGTCTTCCCACTCCTTTTTTGGCAAAATAATAATAATAATAGTACATTTTTTGTTGTTATTTTCATTTCTATTATGATTTCAGTTATGTTATATGTTCCATTGTATATGAATGGAAATCTTTACTTGCCCAAAATAAATGCATAAATAATAAATAGTATTGAATCGAAAGTGCACTGTATCGCAGAAATGAGACCAAGTCATGGTTTTACAAGTCTCAAGTAAGTCTCGAGTCTTTGACCTCAAGTCCAAGTCAAGTTCCAAGTCAAATACAGACAAGTCCAAGTCAAGTCCTGAGTCACTGGCCCATAAGTCCAAGTCAAGTCCAAGTCGTCTGCTTTGAGCTTCAAGTCATTTCAAGTCTTTAAACCAAAGTACCAAATATAGCTTAGATTTTAGCAGCACTTATAAACTAAATTGTACTTAAAAAGTTATGGTATATTTATATATGAGTATTTATATAAGGGTTGTAGAAATGCAAATTTTTCCTTTTTAAACGTCTTGACAAAAGAGCAAATTATTATGGTCAGAATATAAAGAATTCAGATTTAAAAGTGCTTAATAACAGTTATTTTGTCATGTAGTTTGCACTGAAATCGAAGACTCATGTTCTAATACAGTTCCCTTGGTTTTACTGTATTGTACTGTATATTACTATAGTATATTTGAGGATACCACATCACACTACTTCAGTTACATCCAAAGTACCACAGAAGTGGGAGCGACATGTTCCAGTTTGTTCCTGTAAAAGTAAACGCCACATTTATCAACTGTAAAGAGAAAAGCATTTTATAAAAACTTATATTTTTTTAGGAGAAGCATCAAGTCTTCTCAAGTCACAGGCCTCAAGTCTGAGTCAAGTTCCAAGTCACTGACCTTCAAGTCCAAGTCAAGTCTTAGGCTACGTTCAGATCGCAGGGCTTAATGCTCAGTTCCGATTTTTTGGTGAAATCCGATGTTGTTCACATTTCCAATTAAATGTGACTTGTATGTGACTCCAGTGTGAACGGTGAACGGCCCGAAAGTGTCCCGCATGTGCACTGGAGACACGATGACGTCAACCGCATGCGTCAACCGCAGTGAGCGTGCTCTGTGTTTACGGAAATTGTCCAAACATGGATGTGAGCATTGAGCACCTGGAGATTTTAAAGTTCCTCTCGTACCGGAGCCAGAACATGAACAACTTACTTGTTTTAAGGAGGAGATTGAGAAGGAGAAGGACGAGGTTTTTAGTCGTGGCGTTTTGTGGGACAGTCCGTTGAAAGGAACGTGTGGATGTGGAGACGGAGCCAAGAGTGGTGAGTGGTGATGTGCTTCGCTTCAGTGACATGGAGTTCATTAATTAATTTTCGCCTACTTCAGGCCAGAATAATGACGTTTGTGGCTTGTTGATAACGTGTAGGTGGATGAATGCACTTTGACCGTTCAGACTGAAGTCGCGTGTGAAAAGATCGGATATGTATCGGTTTCAGGACCACATATTGAAGTGGCCTCGGTCACATTTGAAAAAATCGGATCTGTGTTGTTCAGACTGTCATTAAAAGATCAGATACAGGTCACATAGGGGCCAAAAAATCGGATTTGGGTCACTTCAGGCTGCAGTCTGAACGTAGCCTTAGTCTATTTTATCAAGTCAAGTCTCAAATCCTAAAAATAGTAATTCAAGTCTCACTCGAGTCCATATCACGACTTCCATTTGATACGTCCCCACCTCTGCTGTATCGTATCGTAGCTTATGTATCGAGGTATGTATCATATCAGCAACTTTTTAAAAATACCCAGCCCTAGTGACCACTCTGGGGAAGACCGCCAGTGATCAGTCAAAACTGTCAGTTCTGAAAAACAAACTCTTGGTCTCAAAAAAGAAGCTAATAACACAGTATAGGTATTTATTTAAAAAAAAAAAAAACAGTCAGACATTATTTTTTCCGACAGTAATTCATCATCTCACTTACTCCCATTGTGTTCGGGTGCTGAAGAATGGCTATAGTAATGCCGGGCTTTGATTAGGTACAGTCTGGACCGCAGAGGATACAAAAGATTTAAAAAGGTATTAAACCGTTTTTGCAGCTTATTTTCATTTCACATCAGTCCACGGATCAGAAACACAAATGCTCTTTATGTGGTTACCATGACGGCGGTTCTGGTTTCTGGTTCAGAGCTGTCACTTTCAAAGCCGCACTCGCAGGCATAAACAAAGTCCACGCTGAACATGTCCGTGACTCGTTTGCAGGACTGGAAAGTAAAAGTAAATGTGTTGAAAATACATATACAAATGTTAAAGGTGCATGGTGTAACTTTTCTGGTGGAGGCTCCGTGTTGTTGCTTTGTCTGGAATGTTTCACAGTATGGCGTTAAACCTTTCTATCTTTATGGAGACCAAACTGGACCGAATTACAAATCAGATCTGTGGAGAGGCGACCCCGCTCACAGTCACAATGTCTTTGTTTTTCTAGGCATTTTTGAACTATAAAATGACTTGTAATTTGAATAAAAGTAAAGTAGAACTGTCTAAAGTCATACTGTGGAACATCCCAGGCAGAGCAATGACATCTCCATAGAAACAAGTAACCAAAAAGCTCCATAGGCGGACTAAAGACATGTCCTTTCAATCGATTAGTCGACTAAAAAGACTAAAAGCTCCCAAAACTATGACTTATCTTTGTGTATCTGACCCAAACTGCACTCACAAGACTTACACCAGCAGGGGGAGTTCATGCAAAAATTACTACTGTATTTTTCGGACTATAAGGCTGAGTTCAGACTGCAGCCCGAAGTGACCCAAATCCGATTTTTTGGCCTCTATGTGACCTGTATCTGATCTTTTAATGACAGTCTGAACGACACAGATCCGATTTTTTCAAATGCGACCGAGGCCACTTCAATATGTGGTCCTGAAACTGATACATATCTGATCTTTTGACATGTGACTTCAGTCTGAACGGCCAAAGTGCATTCATCCAACCTACACGTTATCAACAAGCCACAAACGTCACTATTCTGGCCTGAAGTAGGTGAAAATTGTTAATGAACTCCGTGTCACTGAAGCGAAGCACATCACCACTCACCACTCTTGGCTCCGTCTCCACATCCACACGTTCCTTTCAACAGACGTCGCTGCCGCTGTCCCACAAAACACCAAGGCCAAAAACCTCGTCCTTCTCCTTCTCAATCTCCTCCTTAAAACAAGTAAGTTGTTCATGTTCTGGCTCCGGTACGAGAGGAACTTTAAAATCTCCAGGTGCTCGATGCTGCGTCCATGTTTGGACAACTTCCGTAAACACAGAGCACGCTCACTGCGGTTGACGTCATCATGTCTCCAGTGCACATGCGGGACACTTTCAGGCCGTTTAACGTTCACACAGGAGATCACATACAAGTCGCATTTAATTGGAAATGTGAACGACCTCGCAAAAACATCGGATTTCACAAAAAAATCGGAATTGAGCGTTAAGCCCTGCAGTCTGAACGTAGTTTTCATGATTTGGGTGTTTCCTGCAACTTATACTCCGGTGCGACTTATATATTACAATGAGAGGCTCTAGTCTTGTGTGTCAGTATCTGCTGCTCCTGTTCGTCCTGTGCCACTGTCACTTCACTCTACTGCACATGTCTCCTGCAGAAAGAGCCTCTGTCCTGTCAGTATCATGTTAGTCGACCGCACCATTACTTCTGTACCACTGAAAATGTTAAATTTAACCAAAAACTGTAATCGAGCAGCAGAAAGAAAGTTTGGAGTGAGTGAGAAACTTGTGACACCAGGAGGATGCACCATGAAACATTCCTGAAGTCACTGGATGGATGGACAAAGCCTGGACTTCAGTGACAGTGCCCTGCCCCTAGCCCTACGTGAGGCAGACTCGATAGACTCTTTTAAAAAGCAGCTCAAGACACTGCTATTTACACAGGCTTTTAGCTGACTGTGTCCCTAATTCCTCTGTTCTTGTTTATGTTGTTTTTTGCTCTGTAAAGCAGTTTGTGATTTTTTATCTGTGAAAGGTGCTATTTAAATAAAGATTTACTTACTTACTTACTTTACACCGAAACCATCCTGTCAGGATTCAGAAAGGCCAGAATAATTCTAACTGGAACTGATGCTGAGTCTGACGACAGCGACACAGAAGAGGAAGCGTCGCTCTGTTTACCTCCGGAGGTCGTGGAGTTGTTCAGAAGTGACACGAGGATGAAGAATTGAATGGATTTAGTGATTTGGAGTGAGATGGAGAGTTTGGTAAACTTGTTCTGTTCTGTTGTTTATGTTATAGTTTATCTGAAGAACTGTTCATATGTGACGTTAACAGTCTGTTGTTCTCTGTTCTAGTGTTATTTCCAGTGTTGGGGAGTAACAGATTACATGTACTGGAGTTACGTAATCAGAGTACAAATTATGAGCAACTGTATTCAGTTACAGTTACTGTTTCAGTGAGTGGTAATTGGATTACAGTTACTTGGTTGAAATAAGTGGATTACACAGCGGTATTTTCCTGTTCTTTAAATTTTGGGCTATACCCCCCCCCTTTTTTTTGGTCTGTAATTCCACTCATTGCCAGACACTAAACCAGGTTTAAACCAGGTCTAAACCAGGTCTAAACCAGGTCTAAACCAGGTCTAAACAGGTCTAAACCAGGTCTAAAACCAGGTCTAAACCAGGTCTAAAACCAGGTCTAAAACCAGGTCTAGGTCTAAACCAGGTCTAAACCAGGTCTAAACCAGGTCTAAACCAGGTCTAAACCAGGTCTAAACCAGGTCTAAACCAGGTCTAAACCATGCCACGCGGACCGTGTCTCCTCTTCTTCTATCAATAATATTTTTAATATGGTTCAGTAAAATCTGGGCTTTTTATTTTCTTTTAGCAGACAAAACATCTTATGTGAAGATTTCCTCGTCTTTGCTTCTCTACAGCAAATCAAGTAATCCAAAGTATTCAGATTACATTACTCACTTTAAGTAATTTAATGGATTATGTTACAAACTACATTTTGGGATATGTAATCTGTAATCGGTAGGGGACATTTTAAAAGTCACCTTCCCAACACTGGTTATTACTAGAACTTGACTTTCAAGATGAAATGTCTGTTCCTGGTCTCTGATTTTATAAAATAAATTTCCCCCAAAAACTGCGACTTAAATATGTTTTTCTTCTTCATTACGCATTCGTTGACTGGTGCGATTTATACTCCAGAGTGACTTATAGTGTGAAAAATACTGTATTTATGCAGAAAAAGTACTAGGAAACAATGCATTTATATAAAGATTAAACTTGTGAATCACAAATATGAGAATTATAAGTATAGTAAATGCTCCAGACACAGTAGGCCCTGTGCTGTCTGATTGTGATTTCCATGCTTTTTAATGTACCCACCTTTTTACTGATTGATTCAAGGCACTGTATCTGATTTTTATTGTTTTAAAAATGTAAAAAACAGAACTATTTCATTTGTAACAGTTTGCAGTGATCCAGAGTTACTCCTCACTTATTTTATGCACTCAGAACATCCTAATTATTCACCACGATGAGTTTATAAGTGCTTTTCACAACTCTCAGAGACAAGAGCGGAGTTTTGTCATGAAAGTAAAGTAGCAACAACTAGCATGCTAATGTGCACTTCTTGATTGTCTGAAAATAAAAAATGTTTCTGAAACACGTGGGTGATAATAAAATCAGGCACAGGACTTTACAGATGCATTGCACAACTTTTGCTATTGTTATTTCTTTGTCTAGAATGTTCCACAGTATAAATGAAACTTATCTATCACAAGGTTACAGCACTACGCTACATTACAGGTCAGATCTGTGGAGAGTCGCCCCTATTCACTGAGGGAATTCCTGTATTTCGTGTATTAAATATGAAATATGAAAATGAAATGTATGTGTTTAATGTCATACACGGAACATTCAGGCAAAGCAGTAACATCTCCATGGAGACAAGTAGGTAAGGGACCCTTCACCAGAAAAGTTGTGCAGTGCACCTTTAAAATGATATATGAATTATGTGATTAAATAAATACAAACAATAAAATAAAGAAATAATACAGTGAAATATAATCCATTCTGCATAATATTAACAGAATTTCTTTATTAAAAGCAGGAAATGTCTTTGTTTGTTGTTTTGATGAGCTGGTCAGACTGGTGAGAGTTTCTGTTATGACTAAGCAATGAAAAAGTGAAGCTGCCGAACAAAAAATGCATTTAAAAAACACCTCTAAAATAAAAGTAATGCAGCTTTAGTCCCTGCATGAGGTCAAATGATAAAATCAGTTTACTTTGTTATTCAAATGAACTTAAACGGGTCGGTCAGAGTCAAACAAAGGGTCATACGTGGCCGGGGAGCTGCATAATGCCCAGGTCTGATTTATACTCATCTTTTGTGTATTTTATGAAACTAGTGAAATTGGCTGCTAAATGTTCCACTGAGACAACAAACTTGTTAGAATTTCATACCAGATTGCAGCCTGATTCATCAGATGGTTTCACTTCGTAGAAACCGTCTGACCTCGCAGCATTAGGATTCGTTCGCTCGACAGTAGGGGGTACTTTTTTTTCATTTAACCAATCTCTGCCATTTGATCATGACATATGAAATGCACCAAATCATGGAGGAAGAAGGACAATAACGTCTTTCCCCTTGAAATATCACCAAACATTCTCTTTGTTCCAGCTTTAAATCCTCGATCTCGGGAATCGTTGCAAACACAGTATATATGGTTCTTCGCTGATTGGCTGGTGCCCGAACTCTCACTTCCGGGGTTTTTACAAACCGTCTAGTGTATTCTGATTCCTGAACTAGTCGCTGGAGAGAAATGAAATTGAGCAGATGTAACCGCGCTGAACTTAGCTGTGCAAAAGCCCAGCTTGGTTGCAGGAATAACCCGTCTGTTCGTCTTTTATTCGTTGTTCATCTTTTATTTGTCGTATAGTTTATCTGCGTTGTGTTGTGAACAAATGGCCAGGACATGGTGCTGTCTTTTGTGGTTTTAATCTGCATGAAACAAAATATGTACTGGTCAGGATACCTCGACTCAACACGGTGAGCAGCTCTACAAGGATAGTACATTAGCTTCTAAAAGTTTGCTTCTGTCACGACATGTGCAAAAGTAAATTACTGTGTAATAACTCATACACTGTACAAAATATTAGCTCGCAAATGTTCCGAAGGACATAAATAAGTTGTACAATTAGACTAAAATCAGTGACCCACCTCGTGCCCGTCTCTCATGAACTGACAACGTGCTCTCGGCGCCACGGGCACTTACCACTACTGGTCACCACAAGAGGGCGTTACTCAAACAAACTATATAAGTATATATATAATAGTATAAGTATAAGTCCAATAAATATAATGACAAGTGGAATAAAATACTATGTAACCACCTTTACACAGAGGCACTAGGTGGCACCAGCCTGGCTACTAGATCGTGGCCACACCAGCTTGTCAAAGCCTGAACCCTGTCAGATTTCAGGAGTTGAGCAGGGTCCAGTCTGGTCAGGACTTGGATGGGAGACACTGGGAAACACAGGAGCCACAGGGGGGCACCAGTCACAAAAACTGTTGCTGTTGTGTCCTTAAGGCAAGGCACTTCACCCATATTGCCTAGTGTCAAAGTGGAGTGTGTGTGAGAGACGGTGGTCGGAGGAGCCGGTGGCGCAGATTGGCAGCACTGCTTCCGTCAGTCTGCCTCAGGGCAACTTGGCTACACTAGTACTTTACCACCACAGAATAATGATCTGTAAAACGTCTTTAAGTGTAGAGAAAAGCTCTATATAAAACTGATGCATTATTATTATTATTATTATTTTCCAGAGTCCACTCCGTTGAAAAGTTTCAGCGCTTTAAATGAAGGTGACAGTCTAATTTAATTTACTGGACAGTGGACCACGCGTCCCCTCCCCGTGTACAATGGGGGGGGGGGGGGGGGGGGTCCCAGCGGTGGAAAGGGGGCGTGGCTCCTCTAAGACAGTCCCTCCTCTCCTCTCGCTCTCCTCGCCACTTCACCGTAGCTCAGCGTAGCGCGAGCATCTCTTCTCCTCTCCTCTTCCTCTCCTCTCCGCACGCACTCCTTCTCCTCTCCACGGGACCTTACCGTACGATCCACCACGCGCACGGAGCACAGGATAGGCACGTGGATATTTCCCTTCTTTTCTGTTTTTTTCGGACGCCCTCCTCCCCGTGCATCATGTCCGCGCTCTGGACCCGCCGGACTACCACGGGGGCTCGGTTTGGATCCGTGCGTAATTGGACTGGCCGTGTGTTCCTCCGGCTGCCGCTGGTGCCACTTCTCCTGACGCTCTCCGCCGGCGCGCGTGCACACTCCGGAGCAGGTGAGTGAGCTCGTGCACGGGGGGCAGGGGTGCAGGGGGTCGCGGAGGGTGCGGTGGGGAGGTTTGCCTCGAGTGGTCCCCGGAGCGTTGTAGAGTCAAGTTTAGGGCAAGCGGAATATTCAATTAAAAGTGGTTCACGGAGGAAGACGGTGCGTTTCCAGTGACTGAAAACGAACAAAACCCGAGTTATAACAGTCATATAAACACGAGAATATAATTAATTCCAGCAGTTTACATTTTAATACATCTCAACTATGAACAAGGACTTTAACATCTATTTACTCCAACCTATATTTACATTATAGCCCGTAAATTAAAAAAAACAAAACAAAAAACTTTGCTTTTTGTGGAGTAATGGTCATATCTCCAAAACCATACTACCTTCTAATATTTTGTGTGTTGTGTACTTTTCTGTAGGCTACACTAGATGATATTAGTATAGTACTGCAGCTGGATCAGCTTGTAGTAAATATCTGGGTGGGTAGAAAAAGAAAAAAGTACTGAAGTAATCACTACAACATAATTATTTGAGTAATTACATACAAAGTAGTAGTACTGTAACTGTTTGAAGAGTGGACTAGACCAGGACTGAACCAGGATTAGAGTGGGACTAAAGCAGGACTGAACCAGGACTGAACAAGGACTGAACCGGGACTTAACCAGGACTAAACCAGGACTGAACCAGGACTGAACTGTGACTAGACCAGGACTAAATCAGGACTGGACCAGAATTAGACCAGGACTAAACCAGGACTAAACCAGGACTAAACAAGGACTGAACCGGGACTAGACCAGGACTGAACCTAAATCTAAACTGTATGGTAAAGGCGGACTTTACTTTACAAGCGATGACGAACAAAAAAATATTGCATGGAAGAAAAATTGTAAACTGTGGGAAGCATTAAAATAAGATACTTTTAACTTTAAATGTTTTTTTTTTTCTTTCTTTTTTTCATTAAATGTATGTTTTGAATGACAGATATAGCGCCTATATGTTGTCCTTTTTACATTTTAAAACATTCAAATAAAGTAACTGTAACTCTAAGGTATTTGAGGAAACTACTCTTCATGTCAGAGTAATTGTTTAAAGTATTTAGGCGCATTATCTAATTTCTAATTTAAAGTTAATATTACTGGAAGATCAAAATATTAAAGGTCCTATATTACGCAAATTTGACTCTTGTGAGCTTTTAGTCGTGTTAAAATGTTGTTGCCTCATGGAAAACAGACCTGGAGTTGAGTTTTATTTCATTCACATGTTTAAGTAACTCTGCATTATTAGTTTGTCTACTTCTCCAAAGCTCAAAACGCCCAGTTCCACCTTGTGATGTCATGAAGTGGTAGTTTTCAAGCTATTTTTTACCCTTTATTCAGAAGAGATGAGCAATTCGAGGACTAAAATGTTCCAAATGATTCTCAACAATACAATGTTTTTGGCGAATATAACATTTTCAGAACAATAAAAGGTAACACGGTGATCTAAATATGACATCTTAGCAGTTAATACCCCGTAAAAGTAAAACACCCTCTCTTTAAATACAGCAAATTGTGTCAGAAAATAAATTATAACACAACGCAACTCACAGTACGTTGTCAGTTCAGACTAAAAAAAAAAAAAAAAAAAGCAAGTTTCGTAATTGTATACATTTCATTTCAGTGCTGTCTTTCAAGATACTAAAAGTGCGTTAAATTACTTTATTGATTCAGTTCTCAGTCACACTTGCCGTACTGGTTCTGGTTTTAATTATCAGTAAACTCCAGTTGGAAATCGCACCGATGAAGAGAGAAAAAGTGATGTTAAAGCGCTCATATTTTCTGATCCACACTATAATATTTCCTCGTCACAAACAGACCTGGAGTTGTGTTTTGGTTCATTCACACATTTAACGCACAAACCCTGCACATTTAGGTCACCTTCCACCTTGTGATGTCAATTTTAGTACATTTGTTCTCGCCTGCATTTTGTTCTTAATGTTGCTATTAAAACTCCCCCTTCTACCCCAATGAAGTGTTTTTTTTTTTTTTTTTCAGTTATTTCCCAATCTGCTGCTGTAGTTGTGTCATATGGCTGTAATAAAATCTACAGGACCAGAAATACACATGAAAAAAAGGAAAATAAAATTCACTTTTTCGTACAAAACACACAGTAAACATGTATAAACAACTTTTTGGAAATAAAAAAATGTTTAACTTAGGCTCTTGGCTAAGGATGGGTATGATTAGTCGATTAATCGATAATTGATCATTAAGAATTTCATCAATTACGTTAGTTTTAATTGACAAACCGAATGTAGGTTGCTGTGAGTAGCGTGACCAAACGGAGGTCCGTACATGTGTCTCTGCACTCAGAAGGAGCGAGACACAAACAGTCAGTCAGTCTGCAACATGCCGAAGTACAAATGTATATTTAACGATGACTTGTACAAGAAATTCCACACTTTCCGTTGCGTTCGGGACAAGTGTGAGTCCATGTGCACAGTGTACAAAGCAGCACATATGTTTCAGTGTCCAGTGGGAAAAAGCTTTACCAGGTGAGAGTCGCTCAATGTCGATGTCGAGTCCCCACCTCCCTCCCCCCGTACGGTGTCCTGGTTTTGACAAACACAAATCTGGTCACACTAACCTGTATTCACCTGAGTCGTGTCTTTTAATCCGACAGAAATTGAACCGCATCAGCGACACAAGAGCTGTAGTTTTATCTTCGCTTAGTTTATGCAAATTAGTGATGCGGTTTTAAGTTTCGTTGCGTTTTCATGCGCAAAACTGAATTAAACACATTATAATAAATGGGCTGATGTGGCTCTAGAGTGGTTACGGTTTATTTGTCGTAAAGTTGAATTTACTTATGCAGATTAGTAGTGCAGATAGTAATAATAATGATGATCATTTTAATATAAAAACGTTAATGATTAATCGATAATCGATTGTTTATTCTTCCGACGATCGATTAAGAAAATTTCATCGAATGCCCATCCCTAGTCTTGGCTGTAAAAGTGCAAAATATCAAGCATGTAAGTAAACTAAAAATATACTTATTGCCGCAAAACAAAACAAAAAAAGTGCAATGGCCTCATGACTTTCCTGGTGTCAGTCATGGAAACAGCTGGTGTCAGGTCCAGGACACAGAACCACAGCACTTCCTGCATTTCCATGGGCGTTATTACATTTGGATTTGGACATTTGGACTGAAATAAACCTGAAAATAAAAATAGCAAGGGATGTGCAATTACACAGACCAAGCTGTGTAATTTTCCATTTATTTGAGAAATAAGTGCACTTAGAGCGGCTTTTTCAATTGTTACAAACACAGACACTCAGAGCAGCGACCATTTTGACTCACTACACTCTTTGGCAAAGTTTGGCCCAATCAAAATGGACGGAGCGCATGAGTTTGGCAGAAAACAAAGTTCCTATTGGACACTTGTTTACGTCTACGTCATTAAGCAGCATGTGTGTGACATAGGATAATGCTGGAATATGCTCAGAAAGCCACAACTGTCGCTTTTCAAGGGGAAAAAAAGTAAGTTTCTATCTATTATGGTTGGAAAGTTATGCACGGTTATATAAAACATGTCCGACGTTTGGAAAGGGTTAACACAAGGTAGCCGTTAACTTGAAAACTACTGCTTCATGACATCACAAGGTGGAACCAAGCATTCTGAGCTTTGAAGATAGGCCTGTAACGATAATCAATACATCAGTAAAACGCATGATAACTTTTAACCAGCTCGATAACTTTGCCGGTCCTGATCATTTCTGCTTGTTTCTTTTCCTCGTTTCTCTCTGAATGACTGAATGTTAAAAGGTTCTGTCGCTCTCTACTGACTCCTCCAGTTTCCTTAACGTAATGACGCTTGAACGAACATGGTAATTAGGGGACTTGCCTGCATAGACTGTATAAAAAGTGGACTAAGCAATTGTGATGTCACCTATTGTGTTCAGCTCCACTCAATTGAAGCTCTCAACTTAATAATACTAATTTTATTTATCGTTTTGATTGTGTTTGGTTCAGCAATGGTTTATTCAAGTGCATTTTTTGTTAACAAGTCAATTTTATTTAGGCCTATTGTTTTTGGTTGTCTTGCAGTTCCTGTGTTAAATGTTCTTTAGAAAGTAAAGTTGATTGTTCTTTGAAAGGGTGTATTTGCATTTTTATTCCATGGCCATTATATTAATTGAAAATGGTCTCGGGCGCCTCCCTCAGGAGATTATTCTGAGCATGTCCCACCGGGAGGAGGCCCCAGGAAAGAACCAGGACACGCTGGAGGGACTATGTCTCTCGGCTGGTCTGGGGACGCCTCGGGGTCCCCCCCGGAGGAGCTGGAGGAAGTGTCCCTGCTTAGACTGCTGCCCCCGCGACCCGGTCCTGGATAACTGGAAGAAAATGGATGGATGGTCTCAAAATGTCAGTATTATCATTTATCGCAATAATTTCTTGGTCAATTAATTGTCCAGCAAAATCTGTTCGTTACAAACCTAGTTGAAGAGACAGACTAATAATAGAGGGTTCTTCAAACGTTCAAATGTAAAAATGAAACAAAACACAACTCTAGGTCTGTTTTTGAGGAGGATCAAAAGAGACAGAAAACACACACCAACATTCTTGTAGAGGTGCAAATGCAAGGAGTAGCCAGACAGAAGTGAACAGCACAGTGCTGTGGTCCAAAGCAAGAAAAATATCTGATGAAGGCTTTTTTTTGCCGAAACGTTATTTTGAAAATAAAAAAAAAGCTTTTGGACATCGGCCGTCTGAGTGTGCTATGCATTTTTTCACTTTTGTCTGTTTTTGAGGAGGAACATTATAACATGGCTCACAACAGTAAATTCTGCATAATATAGGACTTTAAAAACGACTTTAGTTGGTTCTTATACTGGGTTGTGTTGGTTTTAAGCTCCAAAGTGTGTATGGAATCTTAAATGTAGTTCTGAGGTCAGATGGAGCGAGGTGGGGAACACTGCTATGAGTTGGTGGGTAATTTTATACATCAGAACAAGTTGTTGTTCCTTGAGAATTTTCCGTTCTAAATTCTAAGATATTGAAGCATAGTTGTTACGCTGCTTTTTGCA